GCTGACTACGAAAAAGATGCAGCAAGGTAGAAAATATTATCTAAGACAAAACTGAAGATTATTTATTTTCTATAAAGTGCAAAAATGATCGTCAACCACTATCATGAATAAATCGAACATCGTCTGCCAAAGTGTTCCATTATCACCATAGAAGTTTGATCATCCGAATTCAAAATTTACGATTAATTTTTTAACAAATCATTTGTACAACAGTAAAAGATAATAGGTCGAGGTTCAATCGAGGTCCTTCTACAGTTCCGTCGTTGTTACTTGGAGTAATTCCAAATCTAAATAATAAAGCTCGAGGAAGGTACAGTTCGATTAATCGAGGTTCTATTGTGTTCGTTTGTCGCGGAAGTGATCGCGAAAAATTGACTCGATCTAGCAAAGTGACCATCCCCCCTGCCCCCTGTTATCTGGAGCAGTTGAAAGTTCAAGGAGCCGGCATCTAGAACAGGAAACGGCGGATCCGCGGATAAATTTGTAGAGTTCTTCCACGGAAGTTCAGACATTTAAAATAGGATAGAGAATCTCCGCGTGGCTTTTTTAAACAGAGCCCCGCTCATAATTCAGGGATGAAACCTGGCTTGCATACCGTACGATAATACGGCGGCGGGGCCGTTTTCCTCCTTCAAAATCCTATGGTTGAGAAGGGCAACGTGAAGATTAGTGCGCGTCTTGTGCTGTTCTTAAATGCAACGTGCCGCGGATGGCCGGTTGGATTTAACGCTGAAAGCCGCAATAACGAAAGCTTTATACAGTCTGAACATCCACGGCGAACGCCGGCAGATTATTTATGTGGGATCCGTGCGAAATGCCCGCGGATTCCATAATTTCTTCGTAGACATAATTTCTTCCATACTTACGGGGGGTGCCGAGCCTACGGGGGCGTAATTTTCTGACTCGCCGCTCTCGTTAATTGCAGCGCGCATTATGCCCGACCCCGTTCGGCTCGTATTATCGCGCAGCCATACTATCAATTGTTAATTAAACTGCCGAACATACGTCTCGCCAAGCGTTCCGATATTGCGTAGCCGTTACGCGCAGAAAGATGCAAATACAGCTGCAACCGTGGACCGCGCGGTCTGTGTTCCGCAAATTGCGCTTTCGCCAATGTACGTTTCTTGCGTTAATTTCGTAACCAATCAATAGTTCTTTATTCGCGATATCGTGTAATTCGTGCTGCTCTTGGCCCGGCATTACGTAATAAGCAAATCAAATTTGATTTCGCGCGTGCACAGCGAAATCGACGATCGTGAAATAATTTTCATTTACATTGTAGAATAAGGAATTAAACGACGAGCAGCCTCTGGCGAATTCTACTTGTTAATACGTTACATTTAATATACTATAGGATCGAAAATAATTTATCGGTCGAGAGAAGAACTATTTGCATGTTCTAACGGGAATAAAATTACCGTGAACGAGATGTTCTTTTAGATGTTCGCTTTTGAAAATGTAGCAGTTACACGTACACACATGCATGCATACATACACGCACACGTTTCTGTACATAATACGTAAAAATGGTACATAGCGAACGTATTATAATAAACGTATTACCCAAGGCCAGTTTAATAGCACGCCCGTCCGACGAACATTCAAAGTTCATTTCCACGGAAATGGTGCTTTGTACTTAATGAAAAGTACCTTTTATCACTTTAATAATCCTCGTTAGTTTTGGAAATGTTAAAAACGTAATAACTTCTTCTGAACTTTTTCAGGCCGCGGGATAATCGCCACTCTTTTACCGGTGGTGTGGCTCGTAATGCAGAATTATACATTATATGAAACAAATAGTCCCGACACATATTTCCTAATGAATGGAATTTGTAACGAACGCTGTCGAGAGAACGCTGTCAACTGTTTTACTTCAAATGTAGGATAAAGGTGTACGAAGCTCCATTGGGAAGAGCAGAAACGGCCTTCACTCTCCGCAAATCTAATTCAAGAAAGAATTATTGCTGGTATGTTATGGGTCCCTCGGTGCCGAACAACTTTTATGTGCGAAGTTTCCTCGTATCTCGAAAAATGACGGTGATAGTTCGTAATCAACATTACGGTCCCAATCGTCTCGTAAAATTTCACTTCGCATTCGCGAATCTTGTTGCCCACGGAATCGTCGTTCCGTCGATTTCGCTGTCAACAAAATTATTTCGATCACAAGCATCTATCCGCGATTATACAATTCGCAGTAATCGCGGGTCTTCCTCTCGTTCGATTGTCGTTCCTTCCATTTAATTATCATCCATCGAGCATTCATTGGTCGACCAATAATTTGACGATGTAATTGCAGACCGGCGCGACACGTTGTCGTTCGTCCAATAACACGTCCCTCCGTCCGCTGTTAGTTAGAAACGACCGGCGTAGAAACGTGTGTCTCTTTCCAAGTGCAAGAACTCCCGCGAAGAAAGAGGAAGTACTTAGAAGCGGTGCCGCTAACGCGGTTTGAAATTTTTATAGAACTGGAAATGTTACGGGCACACGGGAGAATCCGGTAACTGGCGTCTGTGCTATCGCCAGAATTGTCAATAGTTGCGAGGGTCATTAGGGGAACTATAAATTGAGAAGGAAATCCTTTTCGACGCGATTCATTCATCGTCGATCGCACACATTACAGATTCTCTTGAAATTATTAAATATATTTTTGCGATTAGCTTTTGCTAATTATTAATAATTAATTAATTTAGCTTGTTTGACTAAGTCGACCCGTAAGCAAAACTATTTACCGCACGAATCAATGAAAATTAGAACTGGCACTGTAAGTAAACGATTGATATGTCACTTTGCTTAACCCGGAATTTATGCACTTATGGCAAAAATGGATGTTATTTCCCGATCGTTACAATTATGAACATTAGGCTCGCGGAACCCTTCAAAATGACGGGTTAATGATTTTTTTTTATTTTTTTTACTCAAATTGTAAAGATATTAGGTTATGTCAAGGTTACTTCTTCCCTTTTTCTGATACGCGAAATAAAAATAAGATCAAAAAATGAAATAAAATAAATGAATTAAAATACGCGATATTTGTTATTTAAGGTTGATTTATTGCGTCATATGTGAACCGTTATGCTCTATCGCCTTCTTCCATCTCTCAGGAAGCCTAATTATTCCCTTTTTCGAAAATTGTTAGGGCTTACTTGCAAAACGTTCTTCGAGGTGCGTTTTTATTTCGCTTACGGATTGGAACCCGTTTATCATAGAGAGAGGTTTTTAGTGACAGGAACAAGTAATAGTCGGATGGAGCATGATCTAGGGAGTACGAGGGATGCGACAGAACGTCCCAATTAAACTGTAACAGCTTTTCTCTTACAGCAAATTAACATAACCAGTTAAAGTCATTCCTGGCGTGGTGCGAAAGAAACTTATGGGACAGCCTAATATACACTTACGAGTTATTAATTCAATGCATGTGTTACTTAATGCATGTTGTTACAATAATACTCTTTAACGAAATGAGAATATATGTCTCGTCGTTACTTTTATAAAGTAATATGAAAGAGCTGCTCTTAGAGCTTCGTAAATCTAGCGTTTAAAAGAGGAGATACATTTGTATCTAATTTATGTTCCCCACGGCTAATCCTTTGCGGTCGTATGACTGCTCTCAGCCACCACAGCGAAGAACCATACTGATCTTATATTGTATTATTAGGTGTATGCATTGAAAATTACGTATTTTTAAGGGAAAAAAATCGTTTCCTTATTCAAGATTTATTCTCGCAATTTGCGGATTCGATGTCGGAAAAACTGCTCGTCTTTCGAAGCGATCCACAAATCGATCCAATTTTTTGTACTTTCGAAAGAAGCGAAGCGTGTGCCGGCCAAATCGTTTTACATGTGTCGGAACAAATAGAAATCAGAAAACAGAAAAATTAAGGACGGAAGACGCTAAACTTTTTTTGCAAGATACCATACGATGGAGAACTATAAAATATAATTTTTGCATAAAATTAAAATATATTATTGTGCTACATATATCTAAAGTTTAAAAAGGAATTAATTTTCATATTGTTGTGTTACATATACCTAAAGTTTAAAAAGGAATTCATTTAGTAAGGAATTAATTTTCATACTATTGCGTTACATATATCTAAAGTTTAAGAAGGGATGAATTAATAAGGAATTAATTTTCATATTATTGTGTTACATATACCTAAAGTTTAAAAAGGAATTAATTAATAAGGAATTAATTTAACAAGAAATTAATTTTCATATTATTGTGTTATATATAATATAAATATTGTGTTATATATGTGTAAAGTTCAAAAAGGAATTAATTTTTATATTATTGCATTACATATATCTAAAGTTTAGAAAAGAATTAATTTAATAAGGGATCAATTTTCATAATATTGTATTACATATACCTAAGATATCAAAAGGGATCAATTAATAAGGAATTAATTTTCCTTCATAATCTTACATATTACATATTACTCTTCGTCAAACAAAAATTAATTCCAGCACGACACCAGCGTATAAACTGAATACTACCCCAATCGATCAACTTTAACAATTTTCCTCATGCATACAGATCCTTGGTCTACGTCGCCGTTCTCCGGTTCCTCGTTCTTTTAAAGACAGCGGATCTTAGCCGAAGGCGTCGCCGTGCGCCACGAGACAGGCAGCAAAGTGTGCATCCCCGGCTCGCGGGGCTCTGTCCGTCGCGACAGGCGCCGAGTACACTCGGTAAACACACAGAGTCCCGATAGGGTTAACATAAACGTTTCCCGTCCCGTGCACTCGAACAAGAATTCCGGGGATTCTTGCCGAACCGAGGACTGCCTGTGACGATACCTTCAAAGATCGTATCGCGACGGAGGATTCTACAGCAGCTGACCCGACGACAAGGGTACCCGGCGCGTGCATTCCTGCACCGTTGCACCGCTGCACCGGACCAGTCGCCCCTCGAACGCGTGAAGTAGAAGTGGTCTGCGCGTAACCCGTCCGCGCCTGGTGCACGGCAACCGGGGCGCATGCGTGCACCAAGAACGGTCCCCCGCAGAATCACTTCGCGCCGCGACGCCAAGCGGCCACCCGCATCCGTGTATACGCGGCTGGTCCATGTGCGTTCGACGTCGTCGCGTGGGACGCCGACGACGACGAGGACGACGAAGACGCGTCAGTACAGTGCAGCCTCGCGCGTGTTCTCGGGCATCCGGCATTGGCTCCGGTCCAGTCAATCCTTGGGACGAGCCGATTTGATTCAGAGGACGCCGATAAATCGAGAATAGCGTGCACACAGTGGTAACGCGTGTCGCGGTGCGCCGCTTGATTCGGGATCAATTGACCAGGATTTAGTGGAACGATGCGACAGCCGTGTGGCACCGGCGTGGTCGCGATGATCGCGGCCGACGATTCGCGCGAGATCGAGGAATTCACGGAGCGTGGTGATCGCCGCGGCTGCAACGGATTACGGTTCTATTTCGACGCGACGCAGCGGCCTGCTTGAGGAGAGCCTTCCGACGCTTCCGTCTATCGCTGCGCGCCGCGTTGATACCCGCGAGCACGGCTTAAGCCGTCCACGGATGCGTCCGGGACCGATCCGCGGGATTTCACGCGCGATTTATCCGGCTGGATCGTTCCTCTCCCCGCCGGGCCCCGCAGAGCTGGATCATCCGGTAATCCTGGAGAGTGCGACGACCGACGCCGCGGAGAACTCGAGTGGACCCGTCGCGACGGCCCGTGTCGCTGGCCTTTGAAACTAGCACGCGACCGACTGCGGGGTGCGATGATCGTCGGTTGAACCGGCCGCGAGAATGTTTTAGATGGTTTCCTCCCGGTGTGCCCGCGATCGGGATACGTGTTAACTGGAGCGAGTTGCGTAACACGGCGCACAGTGTGTAACTAGAGTAGCGTGTTAGGGGGTTTATCGGGCCGGCCGGAAGACCGATTTCAAAGCTGAATTAACCCGATCCGCCGACGGGTGTTCGTTCGGCTCTCGGCGGGGTGCGCGCCGCGCTGACCAGAAGCGGTCCGACCTGTGAAACGATCGACGGTGATACGACGTGTGAACCAAGTGTTAAAAATGTGGTGTCGTTGGCTCGCCGTTCTGATACTCGCTGCTTTTCTCCTGGTTATCGAAGGGATCGCGGTCAGCCAAGGTAAGTCGAGTCGCCTGCCAGGCATTCTTAAAAATTCGTCGGGCGTGCTCGCTCGCTCGCTCTCGAACGCGTTCAATTTTCCGCGCCCTTCTTCCCCCCTGTCCGAACGCGCCACCCTCGTCCCCCGAGCGGCCCGATGAGAACCGACCTAGGTTCCTCGAGACGCATTCGCATGCATCGCCCACTTTTCGAGACGTTACGCCCGCCGCTTCTCGCTCGAGTATCCGCGGATTCAATCGAAATTGATCCTCGCCGGATCGAGCTGACCGCCGTCTCTGTGGACAAGCGGCAACCAATTTCGACGCCCTTGTATTAATACGCGGCCCCCGATCCGGTGACAACGGGTCGCGAAATTGAAGCCGAAATCGAGCTTGCACTCGTTAAACGGCCGGCTGTCCGTAAATGCGACGGATTTCGGTTTTGCGACACTGGCCACCCTTTGTCACGATTGTGTGCGAGATGTTGCGCACGGTGTGGTGCTGGGTGCGCGCTTTTCACACGGATTTCCTGGTTTTTCTGTCGCTGCTTGTTCGGGATCTTTTGATCATTTCCGCGTCTCCGATCTTTCGACGCTCCGCGGAAGGTTTGTCGGAGACGCTTTCTATATAAACGTGCTTTCGAGCGAAAGTAATATGGAATATTGATCTACAAAGCAGAGTAATTTCTCTCTAATTCGCGCACAGATTGCAAGCAAAAATGGAAAATTTGAGGAGAGGGGATACGATCATTCGAGTGTTTTTTTCGCCTCTTTTTCGAGTCTCGTTTTTATAATTGTTGGCAATTGGTAATTATAGAAACGGGCCGGAAGGCTGGAATAATCGTGTCTCCTCTTCCCAAATTGTCCACTTTTCTGCGCAATCTAAGTGCAAATTAGGGAGAAATTACTGTACATGTTTTCAATGTTTTAATTCTAGCGGATCGGAAGGGGGTGGTTTTAATATATCCCAAATGTAATTTAACACTAGATTTACACTAATTTTGTCACTTGATTGCCACTAATTTTTTAATTTACGATTATTCAGATTTCAAAGACACATTTACGAGTTATTTAATCACTATATGTGCTACTTGCGGCAAATATTACGACAACACTCGTCAGAAATCAGAATAAATGTCTTATTGTTGCTTTTACAAGCTGATATAAACCAGGTCTGCCTTTAGCGCTCCGTAAATTTAAAATAAAAATAAATCAGGGCATAAAGCAATGATAAATAACGCAATTTATAAACCGAATATACAATATCTTTTTAGAACATCGTTCCGCAATTAAAAAGGTATAAGTTCTGCACATTTCATAATCTAAGCAGGAACACTTAAAAAATGATCCAATTTATATCCAAAGGAATATTTTGTTATCCAACTTTTCTGTCCGTACCATCGAGTACCATTGAGTACCATGAGCGTGCAATTATTTCGCAGAAATGATTAATTAGAATCGCGCATCAAATTTCATATCTTTCAGCGAAATTGTTCAAATACTTATGGAGGCTGACGCATGTTCCTTTTCAATCTCTAATGAGCTGAAACGGACACAATTCCGAGCGTAGTTCACGTTAGAAGCGGAAAACAAAGAGTACCATGTAGAATGACAAGGAGACGAGTGCCTGAAAAATTCTTTCACAGACGGTTTCACGGAAACTGGCTGTAAAGAATGGATGACTATCCAGTTGCTCCTTAAAGAGTAACGTAAATTTTAGAAACACTGTTACCTTCTGTACAAAGACATCGTGCACTGACTTCATTTCCGTTGGTACAACGAATGTGAACGACTATTCGCTACGACTGTCTTCTTACGCGTATAAAAACTGTACCAATTAGAACGATCGAACTGTTTGTTGTCGATAATAGTTTGTTGTCGCATCATCGTGCGGATCATCGATATTAATCGCGTCGTTACAGTCTGTTTGTTTACGATCTGTTTATATTTCGTATTAAATATATTTTGTATTAAATATATTTCGTATTAAATATATTTCGTATAAAACATATTTCGTATTAAATATATTTCGTATTAAACATATTTCGTATTAAATATATTTCGTATAAATCGAATGCTCTAATAAAATACGATCAAAATGTCGATCAGAGAGCAACGAATGCCCTAAATATCGTGTCAAAATTTGAAATAATTATATTCGCGAAATTAATTCGACGTCCTTTAAGCGAAATTACGAGTTTCCACTGAATGGGCACGATCATTTTCAGCGGATCTCAAGAAATTTTTCTTCGTCCTCGAAAGTGCTCGAAAGCGTCAAGGAGAAGTCTGGATACGTTCATACACTCCACGAAATCATTTGTTATTCAAATTTTAATTGTCGTCGCGAAGAATCCTCGCGGAGTTTGTTGGGAACGTCAACGTACCCCTAATTGTCGATTCGAACAGTTCCCGCGAACGTTGCAATGCTAATGACAGCATTCGGCAGCGTTAACTACTTTGACTTTCATGCTCACTGCTCCATTCAGATTCACTGTAGTAATAACTCCGCAACCATAACAGATAGCACAATTAATTTCAACACTTTAACAACTTCATGCGCAAGCATATAGGACATGCATTAGGACGCATCATTCACCTCCACGTCTCCATACTCCCGCATAATGCGGCTGCTCCCAGGCCCCAAGTGTCTCACTTCAGCAGTTTATGAAGCACTTTAGAAGCGAACGAACCGAGCTTAAGTTCCGAAACGAGAAATTTCTGCTTAGTATGTATTACATGTGCCGATGACTAATTCATTATTTCCTGGTGACATAATAGTGCAGTAAAGTGTTCCTAATTGACGCTCGGATTGTACATAAAAATTGATAATTTTCGAGGAGCAGATACGATTATTCGAGCCTCGCGGCTCGTTTTTATAGTTACCGATTGTCAATAACTATAAAAACGAGCCGCGAGACTCGAATAATCTTTAAGAACTTCTTTAATATCTCCTTTATTTTATCCTAATATCTCCTCTTCCCAAATTGTCCATTTTTGTGCACAATCTGAGCGTCAATTAGGGAGACTTTACTGCACATCAAATTCGAGGCCACAATTTTCCGTTCTTACATCACTTTTTTGTTCTTCGTGTCCAATTTTCTTTGGAACATCGTCAGATACTTATATGCTTTCGTTGTAGTGCGATAAATGAAGTTTAAAATGCGAATTTCGTGAATCTTTTGATGGGCGATTTTATCCTTTCGATTTCTCGAAATTGTACGAAGTAATTGCATGATTATTTCGAACTCGACATCTTCGTAAAAATCCATCATCTATTCATCAGACGCAAAGTATCAGAATTAAAGTACGTACTTGGTTATTTATCGTTACACATATTGAATAAAGTAGAGTAGAATGGAATTCGTGTTTATATAAAGAACAGAAAACTACGAAACGAATTGAAATTTTATAAAAATGTCTAGCCATCCGAACATTTAAATCTGATTCGGTTCGATCATCGTTAAAAATGATCGGCCATCAGAACGCGAGAACAGCAAAGTCTAACATGAATTTATATTTTACAAAAATGTTTGGCCATCGGAAGAAACGATTTAGCAAAGTGTATCATGAATTTATATCGTACGAAAGTGTACAGAGCACAGTAAAGTATAATTCGTATTCATAGAAACAATCGAATAATGTAACATGCATTTGTACTTTATGGGAATGTTTAATCATCGGCTAAAGGGGACAGCAAAGTGTAATATTCGTTTATATTTTATGAAAATGTTTCAAGAACAACGGAACGCAATGAAAGAGTACAACAGAATACAGCAGATGAAAAGTTCGTATTTGGATAAAGAACAGAATAATATGGAACGAATTTATATTTCATAAAAGTGTTCTAAGAACAACGGAACGCGATGAAAGCGTATAAAATACAGCAGAATAGAGTTCGTAATTGCATAAAGAACGGAATAATAATAATGTAAAATATGGTAACATAAAACGAATTTGTATTTTATAAAAATGTTTGGTCTTGAGACAAAGGGACAAGGTATAATATTTTGTGAAAATAATTGGCCATCGGAGGAAGAGAACAGCAAAGTATAATTTTCATTCATATATCAGGTCTACCGAAAGTTTTATCCGTTTAACACGTTCCGTGCCGAGCTTTTTTACTCGAATCTTCACACTTTGATATTTTACTAAAACTTGATGTATTACGTGCAATTATTAATTCTCGTACACATAACAACGTAACAAAAACTTATCAACGCCCATTCTTGCGGTGGAAATTGATTCTTCGGTTCTAAATTTCTTGTAAACAATTTGTTCAGTTCACTAAGTAAACATGCAAGCGTGTACCATCGATGGTACACGTGGCACGGAACGTGTTAAGAAATGAAAGGAAATAATAGATTTTTCATAAATTTAGTAATATTTAGCAATTTGTGAGTGACATTTTTCAAAAATATATGTCTCGAATGAACATGTGCATACCTATCGAAATTTGCAGTGACATTATCGGACAGAACTTTCCGGTAGACCTAATATTATCGAAACGATGAACTATCAGGAGAAAAGAAAGATAGATATTTAAGATATTTAAGCTTCGTGGAAATGTTTAAAGACAATCTGGAGCAACTCTCCTCGCCGTGAGAGCATACAGAGGCACGAGGGTTTGCCTAAACATCCCGAGCGTAGGCAGGCGTAATGAACTTATTAAGAAATAATGGATCGTCTATTAGCGCACTTAATACATGTTAGATAGACCGACGAAATTCGGTCACCTGTACGAGAAGCGTCCTGTGCGCCGTCGATGTCTTCCATCATCCGCATTAATATCGAATGTTCTGACGCATTAACACCAGGAAGAACGTGTTGCCGTGAATGATGGCTCCGAGGGAGGATGCGCGCAACGCGAGCGCAACCGGCTCGCCCAAAGTGTTTCGAAATTTAGCAGGCCTGCGACCCCTGCGCTCTGCTGTAGCGTTTTACGGTGTACGCGTGCTAATTGAATAATTAAAAGTCGCTGCGGTCGTACGTCCATTCGACGGAAAATGCGATCGCCGGGGCCACG